TAGCAGTGAATGTCATATGGGTGATTTTTTTTAATCTGTGGGTGCCAGAGTGAAGACTCATGTGCTCATTTAATTTCTAGAAACTGGTTAGGGACCAGACGTATAACAGCCTCAAAAGGAGATGTCTGCCTGAACATCTGTCTACAGACTAGATGCCACATATAAAGATTTTCAAGGCCAGAGTTTCTAAATGGGAAGAAAGGTACCTCAAGGTGTAAATGTAAGGGGATCCCTACTACTCCAAGTTAACTTAGGTTGCCTGTGGATTCTTAATTTGGTCCCCTGGTGTGTCTGCATTATGATACTGACCGTGGAGTTCTGCTGTGCATTCTGGGACATTCTTGGCCTGGACCTTGCTACCACCTGGGCCAAGTCCTTAGAGAGCAGAGTGCATCCCCTGTTGTGCATGCAAGCTGTGTTCGCCCTGCTGCCCAAAAGGGGGACCTCTATGACCTGAAGAATTGGCACCAGTGTCACTCCTCAACATGCACTATAAAGTCATAGCGAAGGTCGTCTCTCTGTGGCTGAAGTCTGTGCTGGCAGATGTGATCTACCCTGACCTGACTTATGCCATCCCAGGGTGGACAATTTCTGTCTGGTCTGGGACCTTCTCCATTTCACATGTAGGGATGGTCTCCTGTCCCTCTTCCAGGAGAAAGCATTTGACAGTGTGGATCAAAGGTATCTCCTGGGCACTCTGTGGGCATTCAGCTTTGGTCCCTGCTTTGTGGGGTTTCTCCAGGAGCTATATGCTTCTGCAGAGTGTCTGGTGAAGCTCAACTGGGCCTTGACCAAACCTACCACCTTCGGTCGAGGGGTTCATCATGGCTGCCCACTCTCCAGACAGCTGTATGCCCTCACTATTGAGCCCTTCCTCCGTAAGAGAGTGATGGAGCTGGTACTTCAAGAGCTGGACTTGTGGGTGGTCCCGTCTACATATACCAGTAATGTGCTCCTTGTGGCCCAGGACCTGGGAGACCTAGTATGGGTGGAAGCTTGCCAAGCCATCTGTCTGGCAACCTCCTCCACTTGGGTCAGCTGGGTCAACAGTTCAGGCCTGATGTTCAGGAATGGACGGCAGTTGTGCTCCCTTTCACCAGTGCTCTGTGCCAGCCAGTGAGGCGTAGGCTCGTTGCTCTATATTGATGGTATCTTTCTGTCTCACCAATTGCTCCCTGCTGAAGAACTGGATCAGTCTGGAGGCCAGGGTGTCTGACTGGTTGCGGAAGTGGACAGGACCGCTCTGGTGTCTTTTCCATCCGGGGATGGTGCTGGTGATCAACTAGATAGTTCTGTCCATTATCTGGCACCAGTTCAACCCCCTGAGCCTGCCCCCAGGGACCCTGGCCAGTCTCCAGAAGATTATCCTGGAGCTTTTCTGGACAGTAGTGCATTAAGTCATTGAGCGTCCCCCTGGGACAGCATAAATGGGGCCTCATCTGTAGCCGCAGCCAGACCTACGCTTTCCACCTTCAGGCTCTACAGAGACTCCTTTATGATGCTCATAGTCTGGCTTGGAGTGTGCTGGTGCATACCTTCCTCCACTGCCTCCAAGAGCTCCGATACAACTGTCAACTCTTTTATCTCTATTCAAGATGTCTCCCCCGAAACCTCTCTGAGCTGCTGGTCTTCTGTCAGTACCTCCTCAGGACCAGGAAGCTACTCTCAGCAACTAGGTCTGCAGTGGTTACCCAGGGGGAAGTTCTCCTAGCAGAAACCCTGATATGCAACCCGCACCTTTGTATGCAGAAGGTAGAGGCCCCCTTAGTGTGCTGGACCATTCCTGGGTGGTGCCACCAGAAATAGAGATCTTCTGGACTACAGTCAAAAGGACTGGGTGGACCCTGTGGCACTTGGCCAGTGGGTGGGGTTGTCCTCTCTGTGCATCCCCCATCGTGTGCGCCAGGAGGTGAGGGAAGCCTTGGACCCCTGCTTCTCTTGCTTTTCTTGAGAGGCTCCTGCAGAAGGGCACTCCTCGCCCACCCCTGATCCTGCAGAGCTTGTCATTGGGCCCTTGCTCCACGAACCTCCCTTGCTGCCCCCAACACACTTCCTCACTCGGCTGAATGGCATCCAGCTTATCCATCTCTGAACGGCATCCTGAGAACATCTGTACACTCTCATGCCACATACCATCCACTTCTTTGCCCTTGTGTCCCGCCCTGACTCCAAGTGACAGGACTTGGTGCCATCGGTGGAGATCAGGGAGCCCAATTGGGTTAGCCTGTATTCAACCTTGGTCCTACTACCTGCCAGGGGTATTTGCTGGTGAATCCTCCAGTGAGCCATGAGTACGGGCATGTATCCGGCATGGTTCCCAGACTCCCCTGAAACTTGTCCCTTCTGCAGCAAAAGGGAGACCCTGGTGAACATCTACGTAGAGTGTGCCAGGCTGCAGCCCCTCTTCCAGCTCCTCCAGAACCTTGTTTCCCTGCACCATCTCATTTACACACACCCCATCTGTGCCCCACAAAGTCATGAGCCCTCCTTGTCAACGTCCTCCTGACACTAGCCAAGATGGCCGCCCACCATACCAAGAGGAGGAAGGTGGGCAAGGGGGTTCTCTGCGACTGTGGGACTTATTTTCAATCCCTCATTAAATCACGCCTCTGAGGTGAGTTCTTCTGGGTGGTGTCCAGTGCCTCCTTAGACACACTTTTAGTGCGCTAGGTGCTGTCGGAGGTTCTCAGGTTGGTGTCCCCTTCTGTTGCCCTGTTTTTTAACCTTTGAACCTCGCTCCTGTCGCTGTTTTTTTCATTTGTTGTCCCAAGAATTCATTAGTGGCCAGGGCTCAGTGGCTCCCTCCCCCCAACTTGGTTGAGGAGGTGGACCTTCAGTTCTGGGCAGACCTAGACCCGCCTATCCCAGTACCAACAATAGGCACACACCTTTAAACTTCTGCAACAAATGAGGTAGAGATCCTACAGCGAAATATCTGTCTTCAGTACACAACCTTGATTCATCTCCAGAGCAAGCTGGGAAATATAGTATGTGATCATGTACCACATGGCGCCAGCTTCCTCCTTTCCCTGGGGGTGATCAATCCCCACTCAGCCCCAGGCCCAGCCCCCACTCCACCCCTTCCCCCCCAAGCTCCCACCTTGCCTCTTTCCACCCCCGATCCGGCCCCCACTCCGCCCCTTCCTCCTGTTCGAAGTCACTTATCTATTTACCACACTGGGTTATCTCAGATGATATGGTATAGCAACTGTTGCCTTTAAAATGACATCTGCTTTGTCTCTCTCTATTGTGTGTGGTCTATGTTCTCTACTTTCTCCCATAATGGTTGCTAAATGGACTCTCACCTGCACAAGGCAGGTGCCATTGAAATAGTAAGGCTTTCACCAATGTCTCCGTATAATCTAAGGGACCAGTCTATGATTATCCCATTGGTACAAATGGGTCAAGTCCAGTTCTTTCAGAAGATGTATTATTTTAAGTACATTTGTTGCACATGCAAAGTGAAAAATTGACAGCATTGAATAAAAAAAATATTCTTTAAGCAAAAGAGAAAGTGTATCTTAAGCAGCAGCTTTTCCAGCTTTCTCTGCATTGCTGTATCTTAATTTTGCTTTGAAGAGAAACTTCCTTTGGATCAGAGCACTCTTAAGTCTGCCTGCTCTGTGTTTGGCCTCTGAGTTGAGACTGCAATCAGAGGTGTCAGCTGAGATAGTGGTGAACACCTGTCCATTAAGAATTAGGCTTAGATGTTCATCTCACACAGGTCAACAAATGGGCAGTGGATTTTAGTGTCCTTTGGTCACTACTAAGAAATTATTTTAAAATACTAACAGTGTCTACATATCTTGGGTGTTTTCAGTACATTCATATCTTAAAATTAACAGCTTTGGGCATTTTAACAGTCTTCCCTGACGCATGTTAAGTTAAGTCACTTGGGTAGATGATTTAAAGTCCATTTTGCTTAACTGGGCAGCTATTGAGAAAGACGAGCTTTATTTTATTTATGGCCAATACACTTACTTGACACTAATGTATTTTCCACTTTACAAAACTACATCACAAAAAAAGAGGAAAGCATTATCTGGAAAAAGCAAAATATTAAGTCATCCTTTTAATGTAATCATTGTAAACACTTGTAAACCTGTTTAGGCATTTAGGTTTGTTTTGTGATGAGGATGAAACTTAAGAGATTGAAGTTTGCAAATCTATATATGTTGTGTGGAGGTGATATGGACACAGTGTTCTTCATGTCTTGGACCTGTTATATTAAAATAACATTTTAGAATTTTTTTTGATGTTTGTCTTTCAATATTGGGGCCTTTAGTTTATTTCCAAAAAGGACACAATTGTTTCATGCAGTGATACCATTTAATCCCCAGCGCCCCACTCCCCCAACCCCATCATTCAAATATTCATTTATTCATGCTCTGAAGTTATGATGGTGTCAAATCAGTTTGAAGGAGGAATTGATTCAGCAGTAGTTTCATGACTTGACTGATTAGCAGAGATAAGAAGAAGGAGCATAACTGGGAAAACCATTACAGTATGTAGTTTTAACTGCTCTTTGGGGAGCTAGTTAATGAAAGAATCACTACAGAAACACAGCTATGTAAAAAAGGAGCATTCTCTTATAACACACTGAGGATATGTCATAAGTGGAAATATGTTCATAATTGCTATTTACTCTTAGCTGTAATTACCATGTGTCTTACGAGAACTTTCAGTGCTCTATCAAAGTTGCTTCGATCTTTTCTGCATCGCATTTCAAGCAGAGAAGCTCAGTACGGGCTAGAGCTTGCCCCCTGTGTGGGTTTTTTTTTTTTTTTTGGCTTCCTTAAGAATTTAATTATCCGTTTTCTGTGTGAGAAAGCACTGGGATACCCAGAGACCTGAGCTTCCACTGACTGATTAGACTGGCATTAATCTGATTCATGTTCTTGTTATCTTTGCCATCTGTCTGTGAACCACGCTAATAGATTAACATTGGTTTATGTGTTGCCCTTTAATTTTTTAAAAATTCTCTCTTTCCTTTGACACAGTGTCTATGAACCAGACAGAAATGTTCTGCGGAGGAAAGAATGGGAGAGGAGAAATCAGGAGGCACAGCAGGAAGATGGTTCATTTAATACCAGTTACTCCCTATTCAGTGAACCGTACAAGGTAGATGTTTCCCAACTGTACTGTTCTTTATTTATTTATTTTTGGACAATAAAATGTAGGTTGTACAAGATGTTGCTCAGGCTTCAGTAGTCGCCTACAAGTGTTGGCCTCACAAAACTTGCATATAAACATTTATGGGTCATTGAGAATCATATACTTTTATACTGGTTTCTTACAAAATTCAGTAGTAACTAAAATGAAATAATCTAATACATTGGTGATATTGCATTGAATCTAAGAGGTTGCACTGAATCTAAGAGTAAGGGTGATGGTGCTCTACTTCTAAAGTATTTAGGAAAAATAACTTTGTTAGAATGTGGTCAAGCTAACATAAGAATATCAGAATGGCCATACTGGGTCAGACAAATGGTTCATCTAGCCCAGTATTCTGTCCTCAACAGTGGCCAGTGCCAGATGCTTCAGAGGGAATGGACAGAACAGGGCAATTATCGCATGATCCATACCCTGTCATCCAGTATCTGGCAGTCAGAGGCTTAGGGACACCCAGAGCATGAGGTTGCATCCCTGACCATCTTGGTTAATAGCCATTGATGGACCTATCCTCCATTTACTTATCTAGTTCTTGTTTCAACCCCAGTAAAACGTGTGGCCTTTACAACATCCCCTGCTGTGCATTGTGTGAAGAAGCACTTCCTTAAGTTTGCTTTAAGTCTGCAGTTTATTAATTTTTTTTAAGTGATCTCTGGTTCTTGTGTTATGTGAAGGGGAAAATAACACTTCCTTATTCACTTTCTCCACACCATCCATGATTTCATAGACTGCCATCATATCCTTCCTTAGTTGTCGCCTCTCTAAACTGAACGGTGCCAGTCTTTTTAATCTCTCCTCATCTGGAAGCTGTTCCATACCCCTACACATTTTTGTTGCCCTTCCAATTCTAATATATCTTTTTTTGAGATATGGCAACCAGAACTGCACACAATACTCAATCTGTGTGTGGGTGTATCATAGATTTATATAGTGGCATTATAATATTTTATGTCTCACCTATCCCTTTCCTAATGGTTCCTAACATTGTGTTAGCTTTTTTGATGACTGCTGCACATTGAGCAGATGTTTTCAGAGAACTATCCATGATGAATCCAAGATTTCTGGACCTTATAATTTTGTATGTCTAATTGAGATTGTGTTTTCCAATGTGCATTACTTTATACTTACCAACATTGAATTTCATCTGCCAGTTTTGTTGCCCACTCATATTTAGCTACACACTAAATATGTTTGTATCATGAGTCCAATCTAGGTGCCTGTTGTTTAGCATGACAGTATATATAGTTTATTTTTTATTTGCTATGAATGACACAAACATAATTTGTCTGAAAATACCATCTGCTAGGATTTTAATTCCTGTGGTTCCAGCTTCCAAAAGGGGCAGACAGAATTCCCAAATGTCATTTAAAGTTTTGGTCCCTAAGGGATGGAACACAAGCCAGTCCCACCACCAATGGTCAGGTGTTACCCTTTGAGCTTAAGCACTGCCTAAACTTTGAGGACTGGTAGTTCTTTTTTGAGCATGGTCAGTAAAAGAGCTCCCTGCAGGGGCTGTACCTCTCCAATTGCTGCTCCAGCTCTTTTCTTTGGATGCTTCAAAGCACCGTAGGGTATCTTTTACCTTTAACACTGGCAATGGCTGAAACATGTCCGCTGCTCTGTCTGCTTTGGAGTGGCCTACCAGTTGCACAGGTGTTAGATTTGCTGCAAATGTTACCTTAAGCACTTAGAAAACATGGGAAACATCTTCAAGTCCTCCTCTAGGCACTGCAGAGAGACTACCACAAGTCCCTTATGAAGTCAGCCTGGAGTGTTTTGAAGGGAAAACCCATGAGCACAACCTATGGGCTTGTCTTCACTACAGGCTAAATCGGCGCTGCTACGATCAATGTAGTGGCATTGATTTAGCGAGTCTGGTTAAGACATGCTAAGTTGATGGGAGAGCGCTCTCCCATCGACTTATGTAATGCTCTACAGCCAAAATGCTTCTGAAATAAATGTAGTCAAACTTTAC